AGCCCGCAGATCACCTCTTGGTCGACCTCGCAGAAGAGGCTGAGGGGGTTGTGGTGTGTTGGGCAGGACTCTGGGGTGGGCTCTGCCTCGCCCCGGCTCTGCAGTGCCTCAATGACACGGGCCAGCGTGACATTGGGTGGCGAGGCACTGCAGTCCACGGTTTGGCGGCACACGGGGCACAGGAACTGCCCGTCCAGCTCTCCAGAGAGTGACACCACGCAGGACTTGCAGTACGAATGCCCACACTGCAGCATCAGGGGTTCCTTGAAGACCTCTAAGCAGATGGGACACAGGAGCTGGTCCTCCAGCTCGTCAATGCTCATCCTCCGAGCCATCCTGCCACCTTTCCCACGCAGCAGCACAGACCTGAGAAACATGGGCAGGAGAACGGTCCTGTTCCAAGAGCAAGATCAGCTGAGATGAGCAAAAACAGAGCTCAGCACGTGGGGAAGGCAAAATGGAGAGACACCTCCACCCACCCCCAGCAGCAGCGCAGACCGTTGTAAACTCATCATTAGGCTCCACACAAAGTCCGATATGCTTGTTTTAACTCGTGACAGGTTTGGGCTCTGGAGATGTGAGAACACACCTGCCCATGCCTGCTGGATCTGCCTAAGGTGTCAGAAGGGACCACCACGCTGTTTTTACCTGGCACCTTTGCCTGGCAGGGTGTCAGACTGCAGCCCACCTCAGGGGAGACCTGCCTGTGTGCCAGGGCTGGAGACAGACCCAAGAGGGATTTTCTGCTGAAAAATTCCAGTTTGACCCTGGCCTATATGAAGTTTTACAGATCTCTTTGGGCTTATTGTCTCAGTCACAGACATCCTCAGGAGGATTGGCATTACCTCAAATGATGTATCTAAGCAAAAGCAGAAGGAAATCCTGAAGAGCACATTTATCTAGGAGACAGGGATAACCACCACACAGTAAGCCCTGTGAGGCTGGATTTGGTCGATGTGAGGGCTAGGGAGCTGAGGCACAGCGTGCGGGGCTGCGACTGCAGCTCACCCCCTTGACACTCAGTGCACTTTCTGGTCCCCGCAGCATTCCACACTCCAGGCCAGCACCCCGAGAGACACTAGCATAAATCCCAGCCTCTCCCGCCAGCCCTGGGGCCGCACGTAGCCAGCCCATTTAACAGCTATAAGGTTCATGCCACATTGCCTCCCCTGCCGTTCCCGGCACTGTGAGATACAACCACCAAGATCCTGGGCAAGTCAAAGATGTGACCTGAAGTTGGAGAAAATAAACCTGAGGTCAAAGACTCAGTAATTTCCCTATGGAAAGGGGAGGTTGTGACCTGAGCTCCACTTTTATCATCATTGCTATAGGAGCTTGGTGAATCAAGGAACGTTCGAATGAGCCTGTGACCCATCAGACACCACAGGACCCCGTATGGGGGAACCAGCTTCAGCTGCTCCTTCTGCTCACAAAGAAACACCTCCCAGAGACCCGAATAACAGCCTCCCACTCGCCACACCACTCACGTGCCCTGCACTGCTTCCTCTCAGCCCACTCCGGCTCCACTGGTCCTGGCACACTGAGCTTGATGGATGTCACTCGGCTTCTCCTGATCAAGCTGAAGATTTCAGCCTGGTCAGAGGGGCAGACAGGCAGATGGTGGGACCGGCAGCCCCTCAGTGGGACGGGGAGCCGAGCTGCT